TCAGAGCGCGCGTACGGGCCAAGTCATATAATAATAGGACCTACAACACACACATCAGGTCTGAGTGAGATATTAGGACCTTCAACACACACATCAGGTCTGAGTGAGATATTAGGACCTACAACACACACATCAGGTCTGAGTGAGATATTAGGACCTACAACACACACATCAGGTCTGAGTGAGATATTAGGACCTACAACACACACATCAGGTCTGAGTGAGATATTAGGACCTACAACACACACATCAGGTCTGAGTGAGATATTAGGACCTACAGCACACACATCAGGTCTGAGTGAGATATTAGGACCTACAACACACACATCAGGTCTGAGTGAGATATCAGGACCTACAAGTAAGTAAGTAAGTAATCTTTATTTATATACCACCTTTTCACTGCACATCAGAGTCTCAAAGTGGTTTACAATTGTGATTTTTGGGAGTGGGGGTGCCAGTACAGGAGGCACATGCCAGACCTATTGCACATATTTTTAGTGGTAGGGGGATGTGGTAGGGGATGTCATCCAGACACACAGACACACAGAGACACAGAGACACAGACACAGAGACACAGAGACACACACACACAGACACACAGAGACACACACAGAGACACAGACACACAGAGCCACAGAGACACAGAGACACACAGAGACACAGACACACAGACACACAGAGACACAGACACACAGACACACAGAGACACAGACACACAGACACACAGAGACACACACAAACATACACAAGACTGTGACCCACAAACACACACACACACACACATACATACACATACACAAGATTATGACCTACACACATATATACAAGACTGTGACCTATACACTCACACAAATACAGTTTTAATACCATTTTATATTAGAAGAGAACTACTAAAGGTTTCAAAATCAGTTGTTGTTTTTTTTGTCTGATCCCCCCAAATCGAAATAACCCCATAGAAACGAAAAAACTTCACAGCCCTTGGTGACGTCAGAGTGGGTACGTTTCAACGCTGTAAGTTGTTTACAATTTGGTATTCGTTCTTTTTTCGCAGATATTCAAGATGACAAGGCTGTGTACAGCGAGTGTGACATAAATACTAGATTGTAAATCTTCGTTCTCACAGAGATAGTCCAGTGGTTGTGTCGATGGACTGTCAATCCAGATACTGGGGTTCAAATCCCACCTCAGTCACTTTTTCACTCTCAAAACGGCAATTTATGTGTAGTGAGCAATTGTCACCTGTAGAGTGCAGTATTGTGTTGGGCATCAGTGGAGAGAAGAGAGAAAAGGCAGTCCTGTGGCATAGATCCATGGTTTTCAATGCATGGGCGTTACCCACTATGACGTCACACACAGGTTAGAGCATAGACAGCTTAAATTCATGAAAAACACGTTCTTTTTATAAAATATAGGATTTTTTTTGCCGGAATCTCTTTCAGATTGACATTGTCATGCAATTTTGATATCCACAATTTTTTTTTTTTAAACCCGGCATAAGGTCTTTAATGATTCCTTTTCAATTACATCTGTTTTCCTGTGACATGATCTTGTTGATATTTGACACATTGCAAGGTGGGGAGGGGGGGGGGCTTACATCAAAATCATTGCCGTAAATAAAAAACATGGACAACAGAATCCTCACAAGAGTATGATAGTATGAGCACTCCCCAGTTCTGTGTTCACTTGATTGACGCTTAGTTTCTTTACAAATCACATTCAAAGTCCTTGAGTTAGCAGTCCCTTCTTCTTAAGTTTTGTTTATTTCTTACTTTTTTGTAAATATCTTGAGCGTTCAATCTATTATTTTCATCATCCATTTTCTTTATTTTCAATGAGAATTCTGCTTTGCCAGAATGTAAGATGGATGCAAAAATCACCGCGGTAACAGAACACCCCAATGGATTCTATCATCATGGCAACAGAACTTAGTGATCTCATTGGAATCATTACGTCATCACGGTCTGCTGTGTTAGTGTGTGTGGTGTCTGTGAATAGGGTCAAACAAAAATCGAGCCTGGTCAGAAATTCAAGTCCCACGGTTTAAACCAGGCTGAATACAACTGAGGAAAATGGCATGTTTTAGAAGGAGATCAAAGAAGGAAAAGCTCATTGAAGAGCTTGAACATCACGTGTTGATGTTGGAGAAAGAACACAAGGAACTATTGGAGGACCTGCAGAGGGAGAAAATACAGATGGGCGAGCTGGAGAAGACTCAACTGGATGAAAGTCGCCAACAGTTGGAGCAAGTGAGCCAGCTCCAGACTGAGAGATCTGCCTTGGAGACTGCCCTAATGCAGTCAGAGAAGAACTCTACCTCTACCCAAGACAGACTGAATTATACTATCCAGGAGAAGACTGTACTCCAAGAGGAACTGCAGAAGGCCCTTGAGGACATTAAGGCCTTGGAAACTGCGAGTGAGATGTCTGCTAAAAAGACAGACGCAGTTATTAGAGACCTACTGGACGAAAGTCACCAACAGCAGGAGCAAGTGAGCCAGCTCCAGACTGAGAGATCTGCCTTGGAGACTGCCCTAATGCAGTCAGAGAAGAACTCTTCTTCTACCCAAGACAGACTGGATTTTACCATCCAGGAGAAGACTGTACTCCAAGAGGAACTGCAGAAGGCCCTTGAGGACATTAAGGCCTTGGAAACTGCGGGTAAAATGTCTGCTAAAAAGACAGACACAGTTATTAGAGACCTACTGGATGAGCTTGCTCAGGTCAAATCTGAGAACAATGAGACGATCAACCTCCTGAACTCTCGTTTACAAGAAGGCAACAGTTTCATTGACGAGCTCAAGACCACCCAGAAAGAGTTGGAGGAATGTAGGACAAATTTCCTCTTGAAAAACTCTGCAATTGCCGAGCTGGAGGCAGAAAATGGGAAACTCACAGCTCTCTGTCGAAGGTTCAAGACAAAAATACTGGACATGGAACAGCATTTGAAAAATGAACAAGTTTTGTCTGAAAAAACACTTCTTATGGCCCAAGACAAACACACGAATGAGGTGGAGGATGCCAAGAGGACCTTTGAACACAGCATTCAAGAGCTGAGGAACCAGATAAAGCTGAACCACAACATGATCAGCACTCTAACTGAAACTGGAGAGAAGGCGAAGGAGCAACTGGCCAATTACCAAAAAGAGTTGGAGGAGTGTAGGGCGACTCTGCCGGCCGCTCTGCCCATGAGCTGTCCCTCGCCGCCGGGCAGGAAGGAGAACCCCACTGAGAGAACCGCTGATGTTCTGGTAATTGGCAGCTCTATTGTTAGAGATGTCGAGCTCCCGGGAGCAACTGTTCTGTGCTACCCTGGGGCCAGGATGGGCGACATAGAAGGAAATCTGAGGGTCCTGAACCAAAACAAGCAGCGTTTTCGTCTAGTCGTCGTTCACGCGGGTGGCAATGACGTTAGGCGGAAACAGACAACAGCAGAGATGTTGATGGTGCAGGTTGCCGCCGTGTGTAATCTGGCAAGCACAATGGCGGACAGAGTTATCTTTTCTGGACCCCTACCTAGCACCGGCAGTGAAGAAGCATACAGCAGCATGTTATCTTTCCATCGCTGGCTGTCTGGTTGGTGCCCTCAACGTGGAATTGTATTTGTTGACAACTGGAGCACCTTCTTGGGAAAGCCCGGTCTCATGCGCCCAGATGATGTTCACCCAACCATGAAGGGTACATCTCTTCTGATTAAGAATATGGGCCTGACTATAAATTCTCTGACTGGCTCACATGACAGTCTGGAGCAGAGGCCTGGGTACAGAGCTGGTCCGCCACAACCTCTAACTTCCCAGCAGAGAAAAAGACAGAACATCCGAGTGCAGCGCTGGTAAGAACACAACAACGTGTTGTGTTTAGGCCAAACCAGCCAAAGACGAAAACCAAAGAAGACAACGATACCTCAACAATTTCCTTTAACAACCAACTCCCATCCCCTAAAATCTGATGGAACTTTCTTACAAAGACAACTTTTTCACTACGCATTGTGTTCCCTTGCCTAAGAGATCCCTACTCAGTGAAAGGATTTGTAAGTACTCTTTTTCTATACAGCTTATCTTTTGTTAACCTGCATAAATAATGTTACATTTTTTTGTTCTTCAGGAGCACTTCTATGACCCTGTGGGTGGGTCTGGTTACCGGTCCTGGCAAATAAAAACACGTCCGCGAAACACGGTTCCAGCGACGAGTCCAACCTCAAACTTTGATCAGGACGTTCATCCTAAAAGAAAACATCAACTACAACTTGAAGACCAGCTTCAGAGATGACTGCCCAGAAGCTGTAGCAAAACAAACTCTATCAGCAAGTGAAACGATCATCAAAGACACTTTTCAATCGCCATCTCTACATGAGCAATCTCTACATGTCCGATCTCTACATGTCCGATCTCTACATGTCCGATCTCTACATGTCCGATCTCTACATGTCCGATCTCTACATGTCCGATCTCTACATGACCGATCTCTACATGTCCGATCTCTACATGTCTGATCTCTACATGACCGATCTCTACATGACCGTCGCCCGAGCTCGAGGCCGGGCTGGTCGTATCACAGCCGACCCCTCTCACCCTGCACATGGACTATTCCAACCACTCCCCTCAGGCAGGAGGCTGCGGTCCATCAGGACTAGAACCTCCCGCCACAAGAACAGTTTCTTCCCCTCTGCTGTTGGACTCTTGAACACTTCTTAACCTGTCCCCCCGCCCTTTATAAAGTCACTTTACTGCCCATCATACGTCACTTTACTTCACTGTACTGCTGTCACCTTACATTGTGTGCACCATGTGCACTTGTATATTGTAAATAGTAACTGTAACTCTATTTTAAATTTAAATTTATTCTTTAGAAGTGTTTTTTATTCTTATTTTTATTATCTCTTTCTGACTGTTGCACTGAGCCAAAGCAATTTCCAAGTCTGTGACCTCCCGTTACTTACGTTGGCAATAAAAATGATTCTGATTCTGATTCTGATTCTGATTCTCTACATGTCCGATCTCTACATGACCGATCTCTACATGTCCGATCTCTACATGACCGATCTCTACATGACCGATCTCTACATGTCCGATCTCTACATGACCGATCTCTACATGTCCGATCTCTACATGTCCGATCTCTACATGTCCGATCTCTACATGTCCGATCTCTACATGACCGATCTCTACATGTCCGATCTCTACATGTCTGATCTCTACATGACCGATCTCTACATGACCGATCTCTACATGTCCGATCTCTACATGACCGATCTCTACATGTCCGATCTCTACATGTCCGATCTCTACATGACCGATCTCTACATGTCCGATCTCAAGCTATTGACGAGCTTGTTAAATATCTGCAGGTACGTTGGTAATACTGAAAGAAACATTAGCTGCGTTTCCATTGAATAATGCGCAAAAACTTTTTCGATACATTTCAAAATTCGAAAAACCTGTAATTTGCAAAAGCGGCTGTTTCCGTTAAGACATATTCGAATAAGTATACACTATTTTCGCGCGTTTATTCACTAGTTTCTAGTACGTCAACATGGCAACAGAAGTAACCAACACTTTGATTTACGTGAGATATATTAATGTCTTGACTTCTGCTGCGGCTCTCATCCTCTCTGACCCCGGGAGAAACTGTGGCTGCTTTGACAGCTCCGCGAACGCGCGTGGTCATGTACCGAGCGCGGACCATAGACGCGCGCACAGAACCTAGACACGGGTCTTGCCTGTCTCCCCCGTCTCTCCCCCATGCCTCTCCCCCGTCTCTTCCCCACCTCTCCCCCGTCTCTCCCCCGGCTCTCCCCCATGCCTCTCCCACGTATCTCCCAAGTCTCCACACGAAGCGCAGCCAAAACTCACTGACTAAAGCTCAGCTCGGCTTCCTCCGCTATATCGAAATAAGTGTTTCCATTGCCGTTTTGCGAAAAACTTAATTTTGATACGTCCAAAAAACCACCGATTTTAAGCGCATTAACTTTTTATCGAAAAACTGTGGTTTATTCGAAATTTGCGCGTTTCCATTAGACATTTTATGATGCGCAAATTCAAATTTCGAAATTTGATGCTCAATGGAAACGCAGCTATTGTTATTTTGTGTGTGGGTAGACGCCAAACAATATTTTTTACAAAGTAAATCAACATAGAGTTTTTACTTAAGTTTAATTGTTAGACTTTATGTAAAAACAGTCTCTCTGAAACCATCATCAGTAACCATCGTTGTAAAGTTCTGTACTTAAACTGTATTTTTAGCCATTTATATCTATTTTAAGTATGTGTAAAAGTAACGTTCCTGACTATTTTACAGATTGGAGTGAGCCTTCACTCTTTTCTTGCTGGAGTGGAGCCTGGACAACCGTTGCTTTGATGTGTTGTTAATGTGAAGCACTACATCCAGATGTTCTTCATGGTCGTTGACCATAAGGTGCTCCATGCCAGACACAAACAGCACTTGCCGCGATGGATGAACTCTTCAAAGTGCCATTCATCTTCAGTTTGAACTATGCAGAGTCACTCACAGACTTTTACATCTTCATAGAAACAACGGTCTACAACATAGACTTTGGACGAGTGAAGGAAAAGCCCAGATTCAAAGAGCTCAAGGATCTAAAATGCTGGAGCCCCAAGATTCTATCTAAAGAGTCTGGACAATGTTTGTCTGTTTCTTCTGTAAAGGACAACATTCCAGTTCTGCAGCACTTTGCCAACATTTAAAGTGGACATATCGTGTTTTCAAATAATTGATTTTTACATCTAAATCATTCATTTGTGGCCTATATAAAGCGTAACTGCAATGCCTGGGTCTGAGTCTCATTATTTGTAGCTCCACGGGCCTTTCTTCTACACCTGTTCTGAGGTGCGTCTGAGAGCAACCTGTTTTGGTGCTGTCTCTTTAAATGCAAATGAGGCGCTCAATGCAAACCCCCCCCCCATCCAGGTGACACAGGTTCAACTCCACCCAGAGCGGCCATTTTCGTAGTTTCTAAGCATAGATACAATTATCTCATAGAAACTTCTCATTACATCGCAAACATGAAGCAGGCCTTCCTCATTGACTGAAAGCAAATGTTAATTTTCATTCTTAGTCTACGTCGCAGGGTATGTTGACAGAAATGTTTAAATTGAATATTACTTATGCACAATTTTACAGCAATTTAAACGTTAAGAACGTTTTTCCTTCTACAGAAGGAAAGAGACGCATGCGCCTCTGGAGCCGCAGGTTGCCGACTCCTAGTTGATACAGTATGTGGAAGCAAATACTGTAGAGGATCAGGATATGTGCAGTTTCAACAATAAAATAAAATGCAATAGTCTACATTACAAGAGAGTAATAAACATGTCTCAGAGTGAGGGAGGTGGACACAGACAACACTATTGTTTGTTACAGGGATGAGAATTGGTCAAAAAAGACTGAAATGCATATTGTCAGCCATTTGCTGGCTCTAAATCTTTTTAATTTGTTCACAACATATTACTTTTGGGCTCAAACATGAACTTTTAATGCAATGCTAAATTTAGGTATCAGAGCTTTATTTAGGGCGTTTAATCGCGCTTCGAGAGGAGAGGGGAGACGCGGACTGTTTCCTGCAGCAGTGTATTTATTGGGTGCACAAATACTCAAAGACACGCATGGTCCTGTGCGCGTTTATGGGGTTGGGTACATGGCCACGTTGAGGCTGCGCGCTCAGCCACAACACGGTGGAGCGGCTGCAAGCGGCTGGACGCTCACAGCCTCTAGCAGCCGCTGGACGCGGAAGCTGCTCATTACAAAGCGGCCGCAGATGCCCCGGAACACTGCGGCCGCTGAGGTGGCGGAATCCCGTTCGAGTACATACAGCAGGTGCCCCGCGGATACGCGCGCCCCGCTCGAACAATTCTCAACGGATTTACACTTCTCATAGACATGTGATTTGTATGAGGCAGACAGACCGGCCCAAATATGGGCATTGGCCCTTTGGGCATTGCCCGGTACGCCCGATGGCCAGTCCAGCCCTGTTCGCTGGCATCCTTGAGCTTGGACTACAAATTCGAAGTGATGCACAGTCAGTGTTGCCAACTCCTCAGTAAGGAAAGTAGCTATTGGCTGTCCCAAAAGTCGCTAGAAGTCGCTAAATGACGTCATCGCCTAATTTGCATAATTTGCCATTTGCAAATAACTGTAACGGACGCTGTAGGCGAGAGGAATAAGGTCGTGGGAGAGACAAAAGTGAGTAAAAACACCCTAAATATGTTTAGAACTACAAATGTACAAAAATAATTTCAACATTAACAACATTTAATGATTTTAATGCTTTGTCTAGATCCACATTACACACATCAGTTTTGTCCTGTATTGTTAAATGTTATAACAGCAAATGTAATCAAAAGATTGTTATGTAGGGTGAAATTGCTAGCTCTACAACCAACCCTCCTCCTTTATCCGGGCTTGGGACCGGCAAAGTGACCCAAAAGACACACTCTGGCAGAGTTACTTTGGTTTATTTTTGTAAGTTTTTTTTTTTTTTCATAGTTTGGCATAACAAATGATTTAATGTGACCCACTACTGAGAGAAAACAGAGTCACGGACAGAGCTGCCGCGGATGGAGTGGGGGGTAGTGGGGGGTGGCGGTGGTAGGAGTGGCCGGGGAGCTTTGGATGTGTGGTGGTGGTGGAGCTGAAGTTCAGTCTGCAGCAGCCTGAAAACTTCCTGTGCTTTTGAGTCTCCTCTCTCTCTCTCTGCTCCGCCCATAGACTGTAGCTAGGACTGCTGCGCAAGGCTACTGTGAGACTGGCCGCCTGTAAGTGCTTTGGGACGGGGGAGGGGCTCACGTTGAGGACAGCAGAACAATACGTGCTTCACGAGTCTCCAAAACACCAGATAAGTCGCCAAAACACCAGATAAGTCGCCAATAACACCAGAAAAAGTCGCTAGATTTGTCGCCAGTCGCTTTTTTGAAAAAAAGTCGCTATAGGGGTCTGAAAAGTCGCTAAATCTAGCGACAAAGTCGCTAAGTTGGCAACACTGTGCACAGTAGAGGAGGGCTGGGCCGAAGTGCTTTGTTAGACGCCCATGCCCTTATATAGCAGTCTCGCTGCAAATACTGTGACGTAATAATTCTAAACACGTAATAGAGAATGGCAAAATCAGAACGGGTTGAAATATCTTACCTAAACAGAATATGAAGTGTTCTCTGCAACCCATGAAGAGACTGATTTCAACTTTTTTGCACTTCTAGAGGCTCCAACTTCACAACATAAGGCATTTAAGGCACAAAAAGTGGATTTTTCATGATATGTCCCCTTTAAGGCACAGTCATGGATTATATCCACACAAACATTTGAGAATCAGTTCAACTTCATTATGACGGGCGGCACGGTGGCTGAGTGGTTAGCACTCTCGCTTCTCAGTAAGAAGGTCCTGGGTTCGTATCCAGGTCGGAACAGGGCCTTTCTGAGTGGAGTTTGCATGTTCTCCCCGTGTCTGCGTAGGTTTTCTCGGGTACTCCCGTTTCCCTACCACTAAAAACATGCTCAATTGACAAAAATCTGCTTGGCGTAAGCCTCAGTGGCATCAGGATGGGTCAAATGCAGAGGGCAAATTTACATTTTGAGACTAATCCCTTGGGTTCCAAGAAAAGGATACACAAACTAGGTGCTACAGTGGGGCGACTGTAAACTTGATGTGTCCTTAGAATCAGAATCAGAATCAGAATCAGAATCATTAGGCAAGACACTTCACCTTCTTTGCCTTGTGTGAATGTTGTGTGTGTGAATGAGGTGGTGGTAGGAGGGGCCGATGACAGGCAGCCTCACTTGGAGCAGTCTGCCTCAGGGCAGCTGTGCTTAGTAGCTCACCACCACCGTGTGTGGGATGAATGGTTAGTGTGACGTGTTGCATCCAATAGGAAGCTGTGTTTCAGGTTGAATGCAACAGTTTTAAGGCACCAGTAATAGTTTAGTGCAGTTGTCTTGCTATGGAGAAGATCTGGGTCCGCAGCCTGAGTTCTATCATTTCCTGTTGACCTTGAGATCTTTAGAAACCTGCAAGACTTATAACAGAAGTGGAAGTTGCGCTGTGAAAATGGACTTTAGTAGTTGCCGCCCCCAACCTGCATGACCAGAAAATAAAAATAAAAATCATATAAAACATATTGATGTCCATCTATGTTTTTTAAACTCCAGGGTTCACCATTGACAAACACATCACCAACTTTTACTTTCCAATGAAAGAAGTGACTAATAAATTGTGTTTTGGTGAAGAATCGTTGGTGCATTGACAGCTTCATCATCAGTCATTTATTTTTCCAGATTTACTTCTGAAACTTAAACATACAGGAAACATAGCGGGCAGTTTAAAAGGCAGCCACTTCCTGACAAGCAGTGCTTCCTGAAGCTCTTAACACTGCTCACTGCAGCTCAGCTGCCGCTTGTGTGTCATTAAGCTCTGGATCGGCTGTCGTAAGTCAGTACCTTTGTCAGGTCTGGCTTGTCCTGGCGTCACTTCTTTACCGCCACTGGTTCATCCCCAACCGAGACACTACTCTCTTTCCCCGCATGGTTCTCTAAACCTCCACTGCTGCCTGTGGCGCTCCTCCCGCCGAATCACGCCGCTTCCCCGCTGGAACACGTCGTCTGCGGCCTTCATTGCTGCTCTGCTCTGCGGCGGCTCCCAGACTGCACCGGGTCCCGTATACAGCTCGGCTCGTTCGGACTATGACACGTACAGTATGTAACCCGGCTCACGGAGCTGACCAGCACACGCTGGCGCTACGTGGTAGGTTTGTTCATGTGTATGCAAAATGCTTTTTCGGGTCTCCCATAATCAGGAGTCTCCTCCAAGCGCCCGAATTGTTCGTATCGAGGCTGAGATATTAACGGCTTATAAACCGAGCGCGAGGTCTGTATGGAGAAATATCAGACCGCGGCCTTAATGTACAACTGTGCAAAAAGGCCAAGGTCTGATATTTCTCTGCACAGACCGAGCAAGCAAGGTTAATAAATGTTTTATTATATGACTCTCGTCTGTGTCTTTACCAATGCTTTTGAGATATTTGTGAAGTATGTTCATGTCCAACTTGGCTTTGTGTGATACGCGCTGTTCGGACCAATTGTCATGGTAACGGTCCGAGATGGGAAAATATCAGACCGGTGATCAGCCAATCAGAGCGCGCGTACGGGCCAAGTCATATAATAATAGGACCTACAACACACACATCAGGTCTGAGTGAGATATTAGGACCTACAACACACACATCAGGTCTGAGTGATATATTAGGACCTACAACACACACATCAGGTCTGAGTGAGATATCAGGACCTACAAGTAAGTAAGTAAGTAATCTTTATTTATATACCGCCTTTTCACTGCACATCGGAGTCTCAAAGCGGTTTACAATTGTGATTTTTGGGAGTGGGGGTGCCAGTACAGGAGGCACATGCCAGACCTATTGCACATATTTTTAGTGGTAGGGGGATGTGGTAGGGGATGTCATCCAGACACACAGACACACAGAGACACAGAGACACAGAGACACAGACACAGAGACACAGAGACACACACACACAGACACACAGACACACAGAGACACAGAGACACACACACACAGACACACAGAGACACAGACACACAGAGACACAGACACACAGAGACACAGACACACAGAGACACAGAGACACAGACACACAGACACACAGAGACACAGAGACACAGACACACAGAGACACAGACACACAG